AAGTGTGAGGCCAAGGTGAGGTAAAAGACGGGGGGGGGTGAATGAATGAATAGACAGATGTCAAGGATGGGGGAAAGGGGAGAAGAGAGGATGAATGTGAATGACAAAGATGAGATGGATGGGGGGGGGGAGAGAGAGAATGAGACTGGAGGAGATGGAGGGCCGGAGAGGGGGAGAGAAGGAGTGATGGGAGTGACAGAGTGAACGGCAGACACACAGAGGGAGAAACTGACAGGGCTGAAAGGACGGTGGAGGGAAAGAGGGAGACGGAACAGGAGGCAATGGCGCGAGGAAGAAAGAGAGAAAGAGTGGATGGAGAGATGGACGGAGGTGGAAAGATGGATGCAGTGAGTCAGCTGAGGACAGACAGATGAAGGGGAGAGCCTGAGGGAGGAATGAAGGATGAGATGGATGGATGTGTAGAAAGAGAGGATGGATTAAGGAGAGAGAAGACTTTGATACCTGAATGTGCGAGAGTGTGCGTTACATTGACCCTCACTACAGGCAGCATCCTATTAGTAACAGTTAGATCAAACCGCATAGCAAGCAGTGACACACACACACACACACACACACACACACACACACAGTGAGGGAACCTGTTCCTGAGAGCATCTAATTGAGGGGAAAACAAGGCTAAGAGCCCATTTGCAGGTGGGACCAACATGCAATCTGTATCTGCTCACAGCACTTTGCATTCACACCTGGTATTAAGCATTTTGGTTATCTCAATTCTGCCTGCACTGCGGTCAGCTCTTACAGAGTACAGTCCAGAGTAAAGACCAACAAGTCCCAGGTCAAGAAAAAAAAACAAAAAACAGTAAATTTACAAAATTAAATATTAATTACCTAATATAATTAAGGCAAAATTCTAATGAATTACAAAGTTTAAAGTGACAAAAAAAATGTCAAAGATTTCAATGAGATCTGTGGACAACTATCGTCAAAGGATTATCAGAGAACTCACAATGCTCTGTGAGAATGGGGGCCATATCATAAACCATTTACACTGCCTATTAAAGCAACAGGACCCCTCTTTGGCCCTTGAAGGACAAATAAAGACACTAAGAGTTAATGTTAGTGATGAAACACTCTCCCAAATGGATTACATTGCCATTGGCTACTTCCTAAAACATATATATATATATACATACATACATACATACATACAGAACTGGATTTGACAGGGACAGGAATAAGCTAGGGGGACAAGACATCCAGGATACAGACTGCATGGTTATAGCAGGTATTAATGAGGTAGAAGAGCCTAGAGCCACGCTAGCGGCTCTGTGAAGCTGTTATGCTCATTGTGAGAAAACCAAATATCAAGGTGGCCAAACTTTACAATGATACAATGCAGTTTCTGATCTTTAGCGGTCAAGGTGAAGTAAATATAAAATGTGGAAATTAATGCTATGGGTGTGTTTGTCATGCTAATATGCTCACAGTGACAAAGTTAAACTGCTGATGTTTAGCAGGTGTAACGTATACAAAGTTCAACCTCTTACTTTATCGCGTTTGTATGTAAACATTTGCTTGCATGCAAATCAGCAGCGAACACAGAGTACTTCTAGAGCTGATGGGAATGTCATTAGGTTTTGTCGATTGGTCAGAAGTATTGGACAATGTCAAATGACCTAATGATGACATGTCAGCATGTAGAGAACATGAATATTTGCACTTAATTTAATGGCATGTTGATACATTTTATCAGAGTAAAGTGCATTAACTGGTGACACTGGAGGAAAAGCCAGGGGATCACCAAAGTCATTAAGATTCATTATACGGGATCCATGGCAACCACTTCATGTTATTTAATCTAAAACGGTGAGAAAGAAGAAATAAGAACAAGGCTAAGAAAATGCAATACACTACCTATGCATTCACAGCAAGGGTCAGAGGGAGAGTCAAATACAAATACCAAAATAAAGGGCTAAGAGAATGAAACAGAGAACGGGTGAAGAATGAACGACAAGTTAAGGGAGTGCTGGAGAGGCTGAATGGCTAACTCAGACATACACTGACTTAAATGTTGGAATTTGGCTGCATGTGCAGCACAGGAAAGAAAATAAATGAGAAATACAGAGAATGAAGACAAAAGATAAAGAAGTCAAGGCTCAACTGCAGCCAGGTTGGAAACAGAGAAAGTGAACAAATCAAATAGGGAATGAGGGGAGTGATTGATGAAAAAGGAATTAGGCAGGAGAGATGAAACTGCTGAAAGATGGTGTGGGGAGGCGGAGGGCTGGGGAATGAACAGCAAGTTTAAAAGGGGAGTTTCACAACTTGGTATGAAAAATACCTTGCTGACAAGTCTATTAGTAACACAGTCGATTTCAAACACACAAAAACAAGGATGAATGTGCTCACAAACCTTAGAGATTGGGAGTGCAGCCGAGTGAAACAGAAAAGCCGAAAGACTAATGGACATAATGTTCAGATACAGTAAAACCTTAATACAGTTCCCACTTTTGTCATTCACACTCAAATGTAATACTTGTAAAGAGTACATTTTCCCTACAATTTAGATGGATGTACATGGAGTCTCTGTTGGAAAGACTTGTTCTCTTTCCAGGCGTGAAACACTTCAGCTGTGGCTGCTTGGAACTGAACCTCAGCCTATAATGAAAGCTGTGCAAATGAAAAGTGTTGCTTGTGACAGCTGAAACTTTCAGCATGTGCCGTTTCATGCAGGACGGTGCCCAGACTCAAGTAATTACTGCTCTCCTGCCAATTCAAATGACCCCAATTCTCCAAAACATCAAATCTCCTCTGTGATATGAGGTTTTTCTCTGCAGGACAAAGAGGATATGACAAACTGGTGCAGAACTGGAGTGGAGTGGTTCTGTAATACATGAGAATGACTTTCTATCAACTTATTGTCTCGCTGATAGGAGCACGGCACTGTAGGGTAAGTGTGCACTTGAGTGTGTGTGTCAATGCAGGTAAAAAACTGTCTCACTATGAAAGAAAGGTGCATAAAAGAGAAGGAGGAGAGATATAAAAGAACAAAAGAATGGTAGGCAAAGGTTGTGGTGGCATAAAAGCAGAATATAAAGAAACATCTATTGATGCGCAGCGTGGAGTCAAGATCTTCCCCATCTCATTTTGTTCTCACAAATAATGCAGCACGACATCCCTGGAGAGTTGCAACAGGATGAAAATATTAGTATGATATTGCCTGAGTCCTTTAGTGTCCCTTATCTTCCATTTTAGCACTTTTTCATTTTTAAATATATTAGATATGACATTACATTCAACAGCAGTAATAGAAAATGTGGGCAAGTCTAGAAAGTTTACATTGTAGATATATCTGCTCCGTACACTTGAAATACATGATTTATGATAGTTAAATATCCCATCTTCTTCCTACATTATTGCTTCCCAAAATCAACCACAGTATTTTAATTTTTAAGTTACCAACATCTGGTGAAAATTTCATGTCAATAGCATCTTTAGAAATATATTTACTGAGAAAAATGGTGACATGTTCAATACTTGTTTTACCCGCTGTATGTCCTGCCATAACAGAAAAAAATAAACAAAGCTATCATGAGATTCAGAAGGTTTATACGTGCCCACACAATCCTTGAAATTTGTCTAATCAGCCAAAGTAAGTGACCTGTGTGGGTGCACTTAGAGTGGCAAGGTGCTTTAATCCATAAACAATTCAGTTAATAACATGTTTCCTTAATTGAGCTCAACCCAGAGCACACTGAGCTACCACTGCCACCTCTGAGCCCAGACCAAGCATGCAGCAGGTGGGTGAACACACGTCTCAGATGAAAAACAAATGGCAGGTGTACGTCCTCATTTAAAATCAGAAGATGTGGAAAAACTACAGACTACAACTACAAAGAAAGAATTAAATACTTGACGTGAATTATTCTTTCAGATCATTATTATCATAAATCAGATTAGCAACATTTCTAGGACAAGCAAAATTATTTAAGACCTTAACTGACACGATATACTTTTAAGCAGACAGTTTTTTCTCAAAATAACACAAATTAATGGTTTGGGAAAACAAAATCCACTTTTTGTTGACACTTGATGATCGCTGGGACTTCCGTGTTTACTGATGTGTTTTTTCACTCATCCAAAGCCGATTTAGCTCACTGTGGTGTAATGCAAATTAAGCAAGTTGAACAAAGAGCCCCTTTGTGTACAAGAAAAAAAAATAAAGAAAACAAAGACTTAAACACAGAAAAGATGAAAGAAGCCACAAGATCAAGGCAGCGAGAGAATACAGCTAACAAAAGTTGCCAGTCATGTTTTGTTGCTATAGGAACAGGTGAAATCATTTTGCTTCCTTGCAACAGTCCCCCCTGCACACAACTTTGTGTATTAGCTGCACTGATTTGTTAGTGTGTCAGCTTAATTCATTAATTGGGGTTATTATGCTGGAAATCCAATATAAATGAGTATAATTGTAGTTTTCTGTGTGTCTACACATCAGAGCTGAACAAAGATTTACAGGTCTGGGTGTGACTGAAGGACCTATACACCGGCACCCATGTGGTTCTTCCGTGTTTGTCTGGTGTGCGTATTATTTGAGACCCATCTGTGTTGTTTCAGTCGAGCAAATCTCACAGGTCATCAGTGGAGCGGAATGCTATTTATATCTTTCATTATCCTCCCCCTCTTTCTCGCCTCTCTCCTTCATTCCTATTGTCTCTCGCCCTCTCTCACTCTGACCTCATCTTTCAGCTTTTCTCTTCACTGATTCCACCTGTTCGGGCTCTCTTGCGGCTCTCTCACACACTTTAAAAACCGCCTGCGCTCTTTTTGACTCTGCCTGCACCTCCCTACATTGCTCAAACCTTCACTCTCTCTACTCCAGCAACTTTTCAGAGTGGTAACCATCTAACCTTGAAGGTGCACACCTGTCTGCGGACAGAGGATACCAAACAAACACATTCACAAGATGACAGTAGCCACAACCATCCAGCTGCCCACCTGCCCAAACCCCTCCGCACACATAAACATCTGCTACTTACTCAGTGATTTCTTCGGTGACCGTGTGCTCAACCTGGAGTCGAGAGTTGACTTCAATAAAGTAGTGTTTGCCGTGTTTGTCCACCAGGAACTCCACAGTACCAGCGTTCTCGTAGCCCACCTGCAGCAAAACAACATGGCAAAAAAGCAATTTTAGAGCTCTGAACTAACATTATTAGTAAAAATGTTTGTTATGTAAACACTGAAGAAGGAGCGCTCACTCATGTTAATGATCCATGAAAACAAAAGGACAAAAGAACTCACTGTCTGCTCTCCATTAAAATATGACTACATAAAATGAGGAAAGAATAAGCTTTGTGTTTTATTTGTATAGAGAGAGTAGGGCATTTTTCATCATTTTCTTGTAATGCAATAATTAGACCATTAATCAACAGGGATTTATTAAAAGCTCAGCATCATAAAAGCCCATTTTCTTCCACTACCTTTCAGCTACAACACTACAATCAGGATCACAATCAGTGTCAGGTACAGCAAATATACAAGAATTTGTCTCAGTGTGCAGGGACAATAATATGTCCCCTAACTATGACACACAGTGCAAACATGGTAGAAAGACTGGGCCTTAATTTGCTCAGAAATTAGGTTTATATAACATATGGGCAAACATTTATTTTGATAGGATATTTGGAGTTACACCAACAAATTATCTATTTAAACTTGAACGTAATCACTTTATACATAGAATACATATATCCTCTAAATGCAGGCTCTTTTAACCCCTCGCTTTCGCCTCTGTGTAAAATGTAAAGCTGAAATTGGTACCTAAACACATGGCCTATCTACAGAAGTATTGGTATGGAATCCAAGGCAAAATGGAAGGGCTATATGACCAAGATTTAGAAATGAGTTCTACGTCTTTGATTTTGGGCCTTCCAACTGGCAACTTAACTACTATAGCTTGCAAAATGTTATGATATAATATTCTTACTTTAGCTGCTAGAAAATAATATATTATTACAGGGGACCAGAGAAGGGCCCTTCTGTTAAGTTATATTCGAGCTGGTTTGGAATACCTTAGTATTCTACGTACTGAAGCAGATCAGTTTAGAAAGTCCAGCAGCCCTATGTTATGTTGGACCGGATTTTTCTTCCATTATTTTATAGGCTGTAACATGTGATTTACCTGCAACATAGACTATTTCTTGTACCTTCCTGTATGCTTGTTGAACTAAGCATGAAAATCTAAAAAAGATTTTTTATTTTTATTTTAAATAATGAAAATGTCAATATACAAGACTGAAATGTAATCTACAGAACAGTACAAATCACATAGCAGTGTAGACTGAAGCTGTATGGTTCACAATATAGTGGCAGATGTAATACATAGGGGCCACCAGTTCAGTGGACCACAAGGAAGTAATGCTGACTCAAATAAGATGGAAAAAGCTCTCAACAGCAAAGCCCAGCACCTGAAACCGCTTACTGTACATCTTTGAGGCACATGGATCATTACTGTTGTTCTTGACAGCCGGTTCAGAGATGACTCAGTTTGTAACAAGCTTCTAAAAGAGCTACAAACAGCATCTTTGACTTCTAAAAGATGCTTTTCACTTCCTGGAACAGAAGTGTTCTCATTTTAAATCAGCACTGTGGTGTTCAAATGTAGCATTTAAAAATACAATGCACTGCTCTTTATACCTTTTAAAACAATTAAATGGCTACTTTTATTAGTCACTCTTCATTTGCCAGACGATAACAAAATACAATCCAATCTCTAGCATCCTCTTCAGACATAGTTTCTTTTCAACTCAGTATATTCTTTTTAAGTTTTAATTATACGTGTTCATTATGTGCAGATGACTGAACATTCCCATTTAGATTTTAATGTCCATTTTAAATATGGCTGTTACAATGGTGGCCTTTTCATTATTTTCCACCACACACTGCTGCTATGTCTTTGCAATTTTTTGGCGGAATGTGACTCAGCCTTATGTACCCCCTTTCTTTTTAAAATTTAGACATGTAATCTAGTGTAATTATTATGCTTTGCTACAATTGGGCTGTTCTGTGTTTTTTTTATGTTTTTTTAGTTGAACATGCCTGCATTCGGAGTAAAACATGATAACTGTGAGGGAGACCAACACTGGCGTTTTCCATACTCATCCTTCAAAACTCCACTGTGGGCTGTCTCAGCTCCAGTTTAATTTTGCCCAGTGGGAGCTGCAAGCAGAGTGTAATTGCTATATAAATGCTATATAAATAAAGTGTACCATTATTATCATTATAATTTTGAGACTAGGCAGGTTTTCACAAATTACACAGATGATTTGAGCAAAGCAATCTGATCGCAACCGTGTCCCAAACATTTTCACCAATTTAACCACAATCAGAACAGCTCAAGTTCCTCAGATCAGATCCAGCCACATCACTGATTACTCCTATAATCAAAGATTTGCCATTTTATGAAACGTACCCAATTTTGAGGGAAGGAAATATTGAAAGAAAGCAACAGCCAAACATCAGAATGAAATTAGAGGGCTGCATGCAATCAAATGTCCAACACACAGAACAGCAAATCTAATTATCACAGATGTGGGCAACCCAAGAAGTAAATCTGAAAAATATCCCAAACTATCTGATGAACTGCTGGTGACAGTTTTGTGAGTTTGGTTTCTTCCACCCTCTTTGTGCAGTGTTGAGCATTTTGTGGAAGTTGGGGGTGAACAAACCAAGAGAAGTGAATGACCCAAACCAATTTCTTCCATCTTCAAACAGAAAAATGCATGTTTAGTCTTTAATTGTTAAACCAGCCAAGTGCCTTAAGGACAGCTTTGATTTCCAACATTTGTCAAGACAATCAAATGCACACAGGGATAAAGAGGGCTGGATTCCAGAGACAAAGATGGCCCTAAGCTAAAACTGTAGCTATTAGAATCTGGCATCCATTCATAAACAAAACAACTTAAAAAATGCTCAAAAATGAACAATCCATCATGGATAATACACAGGTATGTAAACAAATTAGTAAAACAACACCTGTTCAGAGTGTGTCAGCGTCTTAATAAGATAATATCTAGTATAATTAAGTAAGATGTGAAGTAAATTCACCTCAAGAGGAAATTAGACACAGATCAGGAGCACAGTACACACACCCACATGAAACGCACATATTAATATTCACTGTAACCTTGTAAAACATCATCTTTGTAAAAATATTCAGAGACACTCAGTAGAGTTTTCTCTACAGAGAGAAATTAGTCCCATTTATGGTATCTGTAGCTGCTCTCAGGTTTTACCATAGAGACCCATTAAGGAATCTCTCTCACACACAAGAAGATCAATAAACTAAACTGTATGAGAACATACATACTGGGATATGGGAGGGCACATACAAACACATAAAACACAAAGCACCTAGACGCTCAAGAGCTGTAGATTTGTTTGTGTTGTTGGGATGATTAATACAGAACCCTTGGATCTCAGGAATCCGAAAACACAATCACACACACACACACACACACACAAAGTGCAAATCCATATGCATGTGTACTATATACACATGTATATGTATGTCTATATGCAGTCCACATATAGACTGACTGTATATGCTTATTGCTAGGCTACTCGCACACAAAATGCTAATTTGCAGCTTGAGTCACCTTTCCCTTAACCTTCTCTGTGTGCAGCCAAATATTTCACTGTGCTTGCATGTGTGTGCTTCCTTTACAGCCCGTGATGACAAATACATGTAGCTAGTGCCCAAGGCCTCGCTGATACCGAACTGTAACAGTGAAAAAAAGACGTAGAAGACACACTCTAGCCTTCACATGCACAAGGTCATAAAGGCAAGCACACTTCGATAGACTTTAAGCAAACGGAAATTCACACACATACCAAAATGTGTCACTCCATATTGCACTCACTCACACACACTGAGTCAGTGAGTGAAGTAGCAGCCAGTGTAACAGATTGAGTGGTCACTGTTTTATAAGGTCTGACAGTCAAGTCAATGGGCTGTACTAGCACAAGGAGAGGTTGCTGTGGTGTCGCATGCACGCATACTAACACACACGCACTCTTGTATTAGTAGTATAATAGTATTTTTAATAAGCATCATGTGCACTCACACATTTAGCTGTGTGTGCGTTTGAGCTCAAACAATCCCAGCACTGATGAATGTACATTGGTGTATAGCTTTGAATAGGAAGTGACAGAGACAGATAGCTGGCACTGTACGACACAGAGAGAGCAAGAGAGTGAAACAAAATGCTTTAAGAACAATTCATGAGTAGTGGGAGGAAAAAAAGGGGAGTCTAAATGGATGGAGGAAGGAGGGGGAGTTAAAGAACGATTGATGGATGGATCAAATGAGGACAGAGGCAAGGAATTAGTGTGTTCGGATGGAGTGGAGAGAGAGAGAGAGAGAGAGAGGACAACGAGACGTATAGTACAGGGTGATAAAGAGTGGATTAGATGGAGTAATCAGGGTAGGGAAGAATAGCAGAGGTTCAGTGATGGAGGGACTGTCCCTCTTCCCGGTGTATCTCTCTCTCTCTCCCCAAGCACTTCAGCTTGAAATCATTTATGTGAAACATTATTACAGGATGTCAAAATTCAAATTCAATGAGTACCCTTGACAGTTTTTTTTCCCCCTTTTGCTCCTTAGCGTCTCGCTGTGCCAGAACATTTTTCAAAGAGTTCACAATAGTGGAAAACGTTGGGTGAAATAATTTATCAACAAGATGGAGCAAAGCAGAGGCGGCATAAAGACCCAGATTGCAAAAGAGTGGTCATTTTTTTCGCCTTCGGTTATTGAAAGTGTGCTGCCCGAGATCCTCAAGGCTAGTTACATTTTAGTGACTGCACACAAGACTACAAGAGATTTCACTCATGTCTCCTGTCTGTCACAAGGTGAGGTGCAGCAGGGACACAATCAAGGAATTGGGTGACTCAAGAAAAAACAAATGTGATTAATCTTCTATACAAATCCTATTGTAGTCTCTGTTGTTGCTGATTGCAAGGTTAGAGGTGGGCAAACATTAAATCAGTGAGTCTTTGCAATAATGAAAAGGAATGTATAGTGGCAGGGAGATGATGTTGGGGGAGTGTTTAGAAAATAGGGCTGGAAATGCTGCTGCTGACCACTGCATCCTTCATGGC